TGTGTGTGTGGCCAGCTCAGCCCACCAGGGGGCGGGGCTGGCTGGCATGTGGTGCTGGGGGATTGAACTGCGGTCCCTGTGCTTTGCTTGGCTTAACTTGTTCTAAGTAGGTGCTTTAGACCACTGAGCCATCTCACCAGCCCTGTACATTTTTCTTTTTAGTTTTGATATGTTATTTTTTCTTATAACACCAGATGATTTTATTATACATTTTGAGTACTAAATCTTTTTATTCATATACTTGTATTTTTTCCCAATTTATGGTTAGTTTTCATCAAAGGTATTCTTTATAGAAAATTTATTGAAGTTAACATAGTGGTATAGCTTGAATTGAGATGCCCTTCCTCCCCAAAGCCTTGTGCAGTCATAGGTGAGGCTTTTCAGTGGTGGCTAGAACTAAAGTACGTGATGCCCTGGGGGTGAGTGCTACCCTTTGGATGAGTACCCCGGTTAGAATGTAAGGGACAGAAAGAAGGCTGCCTACAGCTGCTTTGATTGCCTGCTTTGCTGCCTCCTGCCTGCCGTGCCAAGCCATGGCTGTTTCTCCTCTGTGATGCCTCTGGATGCCTCTGCCTTCACACCCCACCTTGGAGCCAGCTGACTATGGATTGAAACCTCTACAAACTATGAGTCAGACCGGGAAGATGGCTCAGTGGAATAAGCCCTTCCTTGGCAAGTGCAAGGGCCTGAGTTCAATCCCTGGTTCTGCCAAACTATGAGTCAAAATAAACTTTCCTCCTTTAGCTTTGGGTGCCAGGTATTTTGTCTCAGCAGTGAGAAAAGTAAGACAAATGTATCAGTTTTGCCTATATACTTACTTTATGCATTTTGTATATGCATATAAGAGTTTCTAATGTAAATTTTTTAAGGTATATGTCCTGTACCATAAAGTTCATGTATAGTTTCACTTTTTCTCTCCAAAGTTTTCATTTTATATGTTTGGTACAGGCTCAGACTCAGTGATCCTCCTGATTTCAGCCTCCCTAGTGCTGGGATTACAGGTGTACACCACCACGCCCAGTCTTGGTGGCAGGCTCACCACACTTGGAGGCAGGGCTGGCACGGCATGTGGTGCCAGGGAATGAACCTGGTCCCTGTGCTTGCCTAAGCAGGCGCTTAGTCCATGGAGCTCTTTAACGGTTTTAAAGTTTACTTTTCTAAAGCACCTGCTTAGGCAGAGCACAGTGGCCAGGTTTGATCCCCAGTATACTGTGCCAGCCCCACCCTGAGAATGCAGTGGAGACAGGGTATGGTGGCATGTACCTGTAATCCCAGCACTTGGGAGACTGAAAACAGAAGACTCACACTACAAGTCCAGTCTATGTAGTGAGACCCTATAGACTCTGTAGACCCTGTCCTAAATACAGAAAAAAATAAGATTAAGTTTACTTTTCATTTTGAAGTCTATGATTCATCTTAAATATGATTTTTGTATATTTTTTTATTTTTTTGATTTTTGTGTATTTTATAAGGTTATGGAATATTCTACATGGTCATTAATAAGTATTATGCTCTTATTCCATTTAAAATCAAGCTTGCAAGCAGAAGTCTCCGGCAACAGATTAAACCAACAGTGACTTTCAAGCTGCACCTTAATCACAATGGCGAGCACAACACCAAAGTTCTGCAGACAGACCCAGCCACCCTGCTTCACTTAGTTCAGCAACTGGAGCAAGCCCTGGAGGAGATGAAAACAAACCACTGTAGGAGAGTAGTCCGCAACATTAAGTAGTTCCTGCTTTAAGATATTACGCCTTTAAATCATCTTTGAACTGCTGATATGTAGGAATTACTTTCCAAAGTTAATTTTTTGTTAATTGATGGTGATGTGTATAGATTCCCATCTTTTACTGTTCACAGATACTGTTCACATTTACTGTATTTTAGCTTCTGTCATGATCAGAAGCTAAAATACAGTTTCTGCCCTGGTGCTAAATGATGTGAGCTTTTGGACAGAGTGAAATGTACTTTGTATTTTAAATGTTGTGAGTAGGATTGAATTTGCTAGAAACAAGTCTGTACTGTTCGTATCTTGGGTATATATGTGGGACTGTCCTGATTCTGGTACCTCTTTGCTTTATTATTTTCCTCCTTGTTGATCAAACTTTGTAAATAAAATTTATAAGGTAACACTATTCTTAGACAACTTTTTTGACTTTTAAAAGCACCCTATGAAAAAAACCTCTCCAGAGAGATGGCTCAGTAGAATAAGCACTTTCCTGGCAAGCACAAGGGCCTGAGTTCAATCCCTGGTATGGCCAAAAAAAAAGCACCCCATGATGTTAAAAGCCATAGAATAACTTAAAGTAAATATGATTTTTATAGTACTATGTGTATTATAAGCAGTTTTTGCATTTTTTTTCATTATGCTAATATGCATAATATTTCCCTTAGTCCTAGGTTTGAGTTGTCATGGATAATAGACTTAAATAGTACTTAAATTTGTGTGATTGTATATTTTATCAAGGGCTAATTTCCCCTATACCAAAGCAACTAAGAAACATGCTGTCATTTATATTTATAAATAGTGGATATAAGAGTAATATAATTATTGATTAGGTATGAATTTTAGTTTTTACAGTTTTGTTTGAGTAAAACATAAAAGAGGGAAAGGAAAGCCATTTTATTACAAGCAGATATCCCTTTCAGGGGCCAGGGAGATGGCTCAGTAGAATAAGCGCTTCCCTGGCAAGTACAAGAGCCTGAATTCAATCCCCAGTTCCACCAAAAAAAAAAAAAAAAAAGAGAAAGAGAAAGCAAATATCCTTTTCAATTATAAGCTTGATTTTTGTTTTGTTGGGGGTTTTGTTTGTTTTTGTTTTTTTAATTGGTAAGTAAAAGATATTGGCCTGATTTTTCAGGTTAGCCTGAGAGTACAGAGAGATAATGTTAGATTCAGGGAAAATAATTATTTGAAATGGTAGAAATGGGCATTTAGGCTTACCTTCGTGTCCAGGACCTTATCCTGGGATATTTATTCCTAGGGAACACCCCAGGAAGGCCTTTAGAAGCTGAGGCTCTTCAGTTGAACTCTTGGCTCTACCAACATTTTGCCTCTCAAAGTTTTGGAGCTCTTCAGAGGGGCATAGTGACACATGCCTGTCACCCAACACTGTGGAAGGCTACAGCAGAAAGACCACAAATTTGAGCCCAGCAGGGACAGTTGATGGACCTGGCAAGACTACCCAAAATTTTTTTTAAATGGGACTGTAGCTTAGTATGGAGGCCCTGGGTTCAATCCCCAGTACCACCCTGACCCTCCTCTGGCCAAAAAGTGATCTTAAGGTCCAAGTGACATCATATGTCTTTCTCTGTAGAGGAAAAGAACCTCACAGGGAACAAAGGCCAGTGGCAGAAAACCATGCTGGATGTAGCCATGGATTGTACCCTGCAGATATCTGCGACACTTTCCTGGCAGGTATATGCTTTGCATTTATAAAGCAACTGTATTATCAGATATTAGCAAGTGGTAATTAAATACTTTCAATTACAGTGAAACATAGTGGAGTTCTTATATTAACAACCTCAAAGGAAAAGGAACTTTATGCATTACACGAATCCACACGTCACTGGGGTGAAAGGGAACATGTTTGCCAAGATTATATGACAAAGATAGCTCTGTAGAACTTATTATTTTTCCACATTTGAAGGAAAATAAATAAGCCTGGCCCCACAAAGACTGAAAGAATAGCTGTGTGTCCCCTCAGTAGCCTTTGCTCCACTCTTCTTAGTCAAAACAAGAAGGTGTTAGTCTTGTTATTTACAGTATTTGACCCAATCCCCTAACCTTTCATTGTATCCTATTTCTGTGATGTTTTGGCTTCTTCACCTTTTGGACAAGGCAAGTTGAGAGCAGGCTTCCTACTTTTACAACCTGAGGCTAACCTTTTAGCATAGGCCATCAAATGAGCTCCTTTCATTTCTTGTTCAAACATTTCAGACCTTATAGACGCCTCTGTGTGGTGTTTTATGGCATATTGGTTTTTCTTGTAGTTTGTATATAAATATAGTTTTCTACAGACACAATCACTGTTCTGTCTAATATGTCCTGACTCTGGATAGCAGGTCTTTACATGTATAAACTTCTAAATTTTTAGTAACATTTTCTGGATTATGAGTATGCTGATTTTTCCAAGATTGACTGACGTACTATTAGACATGAGAATCATACCTTCATGTCTCAAAGCCAAAACAGCAACATCTCAGAACAGAGCTCTCAGCACGTATCTGTATACATATCAGAGTTTATATGTACTTTACTGTCTGGAACTCTCGTAAGTAGTTCACAGAATTTCAGCAAACTTACTTTGTTATTGATATTTCTAGCTATTAGGAAGATTGATAAAGTTGCCATAAGATAATGTATCTTTTTTGCAAACTCAAAACAGCCTAACAGGAAAGTTTGAGCAACTATTATGAGGGTATGTAAAGAATTCATGGGTGGAAGCTTTTAAAGTGGGTGATCTTTAACAGTAATTTTGTGAAGCAGTTAAGAGGTTGGTCTTGGAAACTGGAGAGAAAGGTCTGACTGTGTAGCTTCTAATGGGGCCTTAATGCAGTGTCAAGTCCTTGATTTCTTCATCTCGGAAAAAAGAATTTAAGATCACCAACGATGGGCTTGCAAGGTTTAAAGGGAACAGTGCACATAGGACATTCAGCCTAGCACTAACCTCCAAAGGTATTCAATAAGTGTTGGACAGCACCGCAAGCGTTGTGTGCACAGGGGCTTTCATTATCTTAGAGCCTTGTATTATGTCTGATGTATGGAATATAGAACTGAGGGAGAATGATAGCTGGTAGTTTCTGGATGATAGAGGGTATATCTTTCATTTTAATTTCTTTTTTTTTTTTTTTTTT